GGGGTGCCGGGGCGGGCGGGCGCAGGTGATCGTGGAGAAGGTGTCGGGCTCGCAGATCGTGGACATCGACAAGCGGAAGTACCTGGTGCCCTCCGACATCACCGTGGCCCAGTTCATGTGGATCATCCGCAAGAGGATCCAGCTGCCCTCCGAGAAGGCCATCTTCCTCTTCGTGGACAAGACCGTCCCCCAGTCCAGGTGAGGAGGTGGCGGTGGGGGGGGGGCGCGCCAGGGCCACTGAGGGCCCCTCCCCTCCCCAGGCCCCCCAGCAGGGACAGGGAGCGCCAGGCCTGGGGTCCCTGAGAGCCCTTCTGCTGCTGCTGCGGCGGCTGCTCAGGGGGCAGCGGTTTCGCTGGCTGGCAGAGCAAGCTCTTGGTAATCTTGGTAGGAGAACAAGCAAGGGTACCTTGAAAAGCTTCACTGTTTATGGTCACACTTTGTTGTTTTCGTCTTGATGGGGTGCTTCTTTCCTCCTCCATTTATGCGATTCATTTACATCCCTTCCCCTCAAGAAAGATGAGCTGGGTCAAGTCTCTCGCTTGCCTCTTGAAAGCTTATATCCTATTTGTTCATTAAATGTGCACAACAGCGTACCATTAAATCCCTGTACAGTACAAATAATCAATCTCAGGCAGAATGAGATCACCATCTGCGAAAAGTCATTTCTCAGTAGGGCTGGAAAGACGTGGACAGTGTGTATCTACTGAGGGAGGGAGTTCCACAGTCTCAGGGGCAGCAGCCAAGCCCAGTAGCAGAATCTCAGAGGTAGCAGGTTTCCGCAGGGCCCAAGCTGGCTTATTCCGGTATTCTGCACCCAAAATTGCCAAGGGGTTTAAAGGCAAACCGGCACTTTGAGTGGAGACAAGATGCAGACTGGGAGCCGCCAGTAAAGTAGATACGCTCTTGAGCAGCAGTTGCTCATTTTGGCAGCACCCAATTAACCTTCTAAGCACCAGTTCAAAAGCAGTCCCACACAGAGTTTATTGGCAAGCCTTGACAAATTTTGCTTTTGACTCTAAGAGCCAGGCTTGTTTTTCATCTGTATTTTGTACTCTGAGAGCCAGTGCAGTGTAGTGGTAAAGAGTGTCGGACTATTATCTGGGAAATCCAGGTCTGATCCCCCACTCATGCCGCGGAAGCTTGCTGGGTGACCTTTGGCCTGTCACACACTCATCTTAGCCCACCTCTCAGAGTTGTTGCGAGGACAAAATGAAGAGGAGAATGATGTGAGCTGGCTCAGGCCCCCTTTGGTGAGAATGGCAGGATATAAATGAAAAAATACTTTCATGACCACCGATGTTCTGGCTATTGCTCAAGATGTAAAACTTCTGGCACTTTTGAAGCCATGGGGAAGGAAAAAAATTGAATAGAATAGAAATTGGGGGGAAATTTAAATGTATGCATTACTTATCTTTCTGTTTAATCTCCAGTTATTTTACTGCTGTACCAAAAATGCATAGTTTATAACATAGTTAGAATATAGAGAGTTGTATTATTTGGCATATTATGAAAACCAAAAGTATAAGTGCTTTTTGGAATTCGTCAAGCAAAACTGCAAACAGAACTGCAAGCTGCTGTACTTTGTGCTACCTTACTATGTGTATATTAAGTTCGGCCATCTGAGAAGTTGGGGTGGTGGTGGCAGAATCTGAAGGTGGAAAACAAATTCTGTTATAAGCAGAAGAAAATGTATTACTTGGATAGAAACTCTCGTATCTGAAATGAAATACTATTTTCAGTGGCCACCACAACAACCCATGGGCTGTTTCTCATAATTTTATTAAAGTGTTGTAGCATGTAAAACTAATCTGTAATCCTATTCTGACTGCTCTCCAATTTCTCATAATTTCATTAGCACTTTAAAAAGTTCTACTTCATTGAATACTGGAGCCAATATGGAATATACCTTGGTTAAGAAATGCATTTGCCTACCGCCACTAAGTAGTATAAAGTTAACATCTAAACAGACAATGCACAAGCAGTTTTTATGTGAAACGTTCTGATGTGAAATGCTAAGTAAGCATTATACGTGTGCTGAGGATGACCAAGAGACACTACAATGGAATAATTGCTGAAAACACTGGCACCTGGGTTCTGTTGAGCCCTGATGTATTTCAGCAGTGTAGTGTGGATGTTACACCAAGGCCAGTATCCGATGACCATGGCCAGGTCAGCTTCGGCATGCTAGCATCAGCTGCTAGCGGCCCCTCCGGGTGGCTTTCCAGAGTGGCTGGAGTCTCCGCCTAAGGTCTGGGAGGCCCAGGTCCACATCCCCGCTCTGCTGCAGGGCGTACCGGGACAGGGAGGACGATGGCGGGGGGAGAGAGTTGCTCTGCATAGCAAAGGGAGCCTAGATTCAAGTAAGCTAGAAAACTTCTGGGGAAGAAACTGCCCCACAGCGTCCCTAAATGCAGGGCGATGCCATGGCCTAAGCGTTACCTCAGCGAAGAGGGTGCTTTCCCCCTACCCCATCATACCCCTGTGGTTGATCTCGAGATGCAGAAGCAATTAAGGGAGAATGCAAAAAATGTTGCAATCCTGCGTGACGTACCGTTTCATAGACTGGGCATATACCTGTGCGCTTGAATTGCACTGTAGCATCTCAAATGGCTACACACGAGAACAGCTGGCCATGGAGTGAACCATGGGGCAGCGATCTTGGGCTTGGTTCTGGGCATGGCTGAAGAGCCGGTGTGCGACGTAGATGCTGCTGCACCAATTGGGCACAGTGACCACAAGGCTATTAAAGCTCAGCATTCTGTGTAATGCTAGGGATTTAATGGGCAGCCCAGCACTTGGCCTAGTCTCAGGTCGTTTCCTCCAAAGGCTGCAAGACGTGCTTGTGTTTTGAGGCTCTTAGACAGATGCACTTCTGCAAGCCCACACCTTGGCTTCTGTTCAGTCTGTACTCCACTTTAATTCCTTGGCTGGTGTCTCACTGCCTCTTTCTTCTTCTTCAAGCCTGACTATGGGGCAGCTGTATGAAAAGGAAAAGGACGAGGATGGATTCTTGTATGTGGCCTACAGTGGAGAAAACACGTTTGGTGTCTGACGGCATCTCCCCTCCTTCGCCTCTTGTAAATAGCCTGTGGTTTGTGATCATGACTCTCCCATGGCTCATCCTGCATCCGTCACTGGGTTGATCTAATATAGATTTTGGTTTGTTAGACTAGTAATTTATAAGAGGTTTTTTCCTGTTGCCCATTAAGTCCATAGCCTCCCTTCCTGAGAAACATTTCATGGCATCATTGTTTAAATATTGAAGCAAAGTGGTTGAAAGTGGGAGAGGGGGATGAAATGTATGTTTGGTTAATTATTATTTAATAACAAGGGAGCTTCTAGGTTATTCTCAGCAGTATCAAGATACTGATATGTTGATGTTGGCTTATATGTTCCTCTTGGTGAATTCCGCTAGAGGAAGCGATAATTAAATCTTATCTCACAAACATGTGGTGATTCCATTGTGTTTTCCAGCTTTGTTTTAATGAGCAGGCTCCTCCTACAGCTGTACTTGCCTTGTGGCATGGATTTAATAAGAGCTACGATTGGGGGGGGGAGACAGGCTCAGGCTCTTCTTTTGCTGTCGAGGTGGAAAGTGGGTTCTGAAGCAAGAGGACCTTGGCAAAATCTGTACTGATTCTTTGGAGACAAAGTGGATGTTCTTTGATATGTTTCACAATTGTAACCATAATCAGACTTTCTGGCAGTTTACCGAGGATATAAATTATAAGCTAACAGGTGTTTAATTTCTGGCTTTCACCCTGAAATCTTTTTTTTAACCAATTGTGTTTATTTTTAAAATATTATATTCTTTATTCTTAAACCTTACGGGTTCAAAGGGAGGTTTACAGTCTTGAACTGTAAATCTGCAGCAGTGACCCTCTGTTGAAAGCCTTTTGTGTCATATGATTACGGTGCGCGGACTCTAATCTGGGAGAGCCGGGTTTGATTCCCCACACCTCCACTTGGACCTGCTGGATGACCTTGGGCAAGCCATAGTTCTGTTAGTGTTCTCTCAGCCCCGCCTCCCTCACAAGGTGTCTGTTGTGGGGAGGGGAAAGGAAAGGAGTTTGTAAGCTGCTCCGAGACTCTTTTGGGTAGTGAAGGGTGGGGTATAAATCCAATCTCTTCTTCTTCATATCTGAGAGAGCACATTTTGGGTTCCTAAGGACTCATCATGGAGTGCCTTCCAGGTCCATTAGCACAAGTTGCTGCTTTTTTTAGTTCAGTACTTCAATGTCATCATTTTTCAGAGTAAATGGCCTGATAACCGTGGAACAAATGTTGGTTATCTCCAACGTATGCTATACAAACACAGTCAAAAGGAGTCATTTAATGACATTTAGAATCAGAATCACAGAGCTGGAATAGTCTATAGAGGCCATCTAGTCCAACCCTCTGCTCAGTGCAGGATCAGCCTAGAGCAGGGTGTCAAACAAGGGCTTCCATCAGGCCCACAGTGGAACTGGCCATCTCCTGGTTCCAGTTCTGCTGCTGCTGCATCGTACCTTGTTTTGCCAGACCCTCTTAATCACTCAGCCATTTCATGTTTTAACCTGGGTCCTAGACTCAGAATTCTGAGCATGAGATTTCTGTGGTGAATGTCAGTAAATCAAAAGTAGGTTTGCAGCTTACAGAGCTAATGTTTTAAGCATGTTTTTATTCTAAGTAAAAAAAACACCCCTTTGTGTTTTTGTCCTTTATAAAGTTTATATCTCCACTACCTGTGGTTACATTTTATGACACACATGGCCCGGCCCAACAAGGTCTCATTTATGTCAGATCTGGCCCTCATAACAAATGAGTTCAACGCCCCCGGCCTAGAACATCCCTAAGAAGCATTTGTCCAGCCGCTGCTTAAAGACTGCCAGTGAGGAGGAGCTCACCACCTCCCTAGGCAGCTGATTCCACTGTTGCACAACTCTTACTACAAGGGGAGCTCCCCCCCCCCCCAGTACCTCTTGTGAATGCTGCAGGACTGATGCAAGGCTACCAATTCCACACCCTCTGGATCATGGAGGGTCGTGATGGAGGCAGAGAAGGTGTGTCCTTGGGCAGCAATCTTGCTCATGTAGCCTACAGACATTTCTATTGTTCTGCCCCCATAAAGGAAGAACTGTTCAACAGGTAAGTTATGTATCCACTCAAAAGGAAGGTGACTCTGAATCCAACGCACGTACATACACTGCAGAAAAAACAGATGTGAGCTGCCCCTTGTGCCATCTCCTTGGGGGGGGGGGGTCACTAGTGGAGCTAGTTGGCTCTTCCCCTCCCTCCCCATGCCTGTTGCCTCAGCAGGCCTGTTCTTCACCTCTGCTTCCCTGTGCATGGCACAGGTCAGCCTTCACGACTTACCCAGTGTGGGGGAAGACCTTTCCATACGCAGGGCACAACCGCGTCCTGGGCTGCTTCCGACCTCCTCCCTAGCCGATGGAGAGGGTGGCCCCAGGCAGCACTTCCAGCCCGCGGGACCTAACTAACCCCACAGGAAAGCAGACCCTTCTCTGACCTCTGTCTACGTGCTGGAGGAGTGGTGTTTCCCACGCCAGGACATCCTGGTGGATTTGTGTGTGTGTCAAAGATGCGCTCTTTTCTAAGCCCCCCAAAGAAGAACAATCTTGTTTTCAATTCAATAGGGTAATGGTGGTGTCTGTAGCAAGCAGCCACAACACCACAAAATATGTAATCATTGAGAATTGTCAGGTGCTTGTTTAAGAACCAAGGCTCAGGGCCAGGGAATCTGGAGCATCCGTCTCTTCGCTCCTTGACAACATGAAGCCATTGCAGTCCCCTTCCAGTTGCTGCTGCTTGCCCCAGGAGGAGGTTCTCAAGAGTCACTGTGGCATACCAGAGCCTGTGACCTCAGCACCTCCACCCAGACCCAACAAAGCAGGTGGGGACTGAGCTCAGCCAGGCCTGTGAGTGGCTCCAGCCACACCCACCTTAAGGACATGAAGAAGAAAACAAGCATTACCCACTCTGTTATTCTGGGCCTCCCGAGTTTATTGGAGCCTTAATTTTGAGAGGAAGAAAGAGACACCCAAGTGTGGCAAGCCAGGGTCCCAACTGTGCAAAAACATTAGGAACAGCTCCTAGTCCACTGTCTTCCAACTCATTTTGGGAACAGCTAGGGGAATGCACAAGTAAAACAGGCAACTCTTGGAAGAGTGGGCCAGGTTCCCGCCAGCCTTTGCTTACCCAGGGCCGCCCCTGGTATGTGCCTTCAGCCAGAGCCCTTTCAGCGGAAACCCCACTCACCTGCTTGAGTCTTCAGAGGGTTGCACTCTCCAGGTGGCTGGTTTTATTCTTCAGTGTCTACAATTCAAGGGGGGTATTTTTGTCTCCCCACCCATCATGGGAAGGGGCAGCAAATGCAATGACAGGAGGGAACGTCTGTTCTGCCATTCCCTGAGCTGAAGAGTCAGTCTGTCAAGATCCAGAGGTCTGAGCATCAAGCTCTATGGTATTTTTTAAAAAATTATCTACTTCATTTATAGTTACAGAATCCAAAATTGTACAAGTTTAAGGTCCAAACTGTCAGGCAACGTGTAGGGCTGTTGAACAAGGCAGCAGAGTGCGTCCATCTCCTTGCCTACCACTGGGTCAGTCAAGTCAATGGAGACTAATGAGTTCTTGCACCTAAACAGGCCGGCCCAGCTCCTTCCCTCTAGGCGAAGTTCAGGTAATCCCGGCTGTTCCTCACCCAGAAACAGAATGCCTGGCTCCGCAGCTCCTCCCAAGCCTCTTGGTAACTGGCAGCAGCTTCCTTGTACTCCCAGTAGGTCTGCAGTCTCGTAGCTCTGAGGAGGAGGAGAATGAACAACAGGCGCTGGGTGCCTCATGGCCTTGGCTGCTTTCCCTGTCTGGCTTCCCCTCTGCCGACCCCTCCCAAACACGAAGGGGGGGGTGAACTTCCCCTTTGGCGGAGGGCCATCGGAGCAGAGGCCATCTGTGGGAGTGCTCTCACTTGAGGTTTCCTGTGCTGAGCAAAGGCCCCTTCCAGCGCTCTGACTCTGAAGGGGTGAGCAACTTCCCAGCACCACCCGACAGACCTCGACCTGGTAAGGCACACAAGAGCTCTACCACCCCCCAACGGCCTCCTGCCTGGAAGGCAGCTGGAAATTCCCAAAACGATCAAGAGGGCATGATGCCTGGGCAGCACCGGTTGCCGCCTCGTTGTGCAGAGGCTGCTGAGCCAAGGGGGAGGAGGTCACAGAATGGGGTCACTCTACAAATGGACACCAGGGGAAGGATTGAGGAGGAGAACTGTGAAAAGAGACACCCTCAGACTCTGGAGTCATCTTGGAACCAGTCGGGGGACGAGAAGATGGTTCCTCTTGTGGATTAAAAATTGGTTAAACAGGAAGCAGAGAGTGGAAATACGTGGACAATGGAGGGAAGTAGGCAGTGGTCTCCCACAAGGACTGCTTTTTGGGTCAGTGCCATTTAATTTGTTCATTAATGATCTGGTATTGGGGGATGAGCAGGGTCGAGGCCAAGTGACACAACAGAATTATACCGGATGGTGAAAAGCAAGGACCTTGCCAAACTGGGTGAGTGGGCAGTAAGGTAGGTGGTACCCATGAGATGATGCCCACTGGGACAAAACATCCCCGCCATTTTGGTGTAGTGGTTAAGTGCGTGGACTCTACTCCGGGAGAACTGGGTTTGATTCCCCACTCCTCCTCCACTTGCACCTGGCTGGATGACTTTGGGCAAGCCGTAGTTCTGATAAGAGCTGTTCTTGAAAAAGAGCAGTTTCTGTCAAGAGCTCTCTGAGCCTCACCTGCCTCACAGGGTGTCTGTTGTGGGGAGGAGAAGGGAAAGGAGTTTGTCAGCCGCTCTGAGACACCTTTGGGCAGTGAAGGGCCATGGGGTATAAAGCCAACCTCTTCTTCTTCAAGTACAGGTCAGTGGGGTCTGAACTTGTTGAGACTGAGAAGGGATAAGATCTTGGGGCTGCAGGAGGTGACTCAATGGAGGTGTCAACCCCAAGTGTGCTGCAGCAGTGAATAAAGGTAGCTCTATGCGGGGGATCAGAAGAAGAGTCGGTTTTTAAGGAGTCTCAAAGCAGCTTACAGTTGCCTTTGCTTCCTCTGTTTTATTTATTTTATGCGGTTTCAATCCCGCCCTCCCTTGCAGACAGACTCAGGACAGGTTACAACAGCAAATAAAAACAAAACAATGTCCAAATAAAACCCAGGTAAACAGTACAAAATGGTGCATTGATAATTTAACAAGCCCCCAAAGGCATGCTGTATGTGTGCCTGGGAGGGCTAACTTATTAAGCGGTGGGCAAGTACCAGCCACCGATGGCACAAGTTGATACAGTCAAAAACAGAGGTGGAGTGGGGCAGGACGCCCGCGGGGCCCTGATCTCACTTGAGAGCGCGTTGCACCAGGCTGGGCCCAGAGCTGAAGAAGCTCTGGCCCTGGTCCCAAGGCTAGGCGGATGTCTTCTGGCCTGGGGATTACCAGGAGACGTCGGTCTGAAGAGCGTAAAGCTCTTCGGGGGACATACTGGGAGTCGGTCTGAGGAAACGTGACTGGTCCAAGGCCACCCAGCAGGCTTCACGTGGAGGAGGTGGTGTGGGGAGTCAAACCAGAGGCAGAGTGGTGGTTAAGGACACCACATCCAGCGGCAGTAAGCCTCCAAACACTGGTGCCAGGAGACAACATCAGAAGGCCTCAGCCTCTGTGCCCTGCTGCAAGACAGGATGCTGGACTAGACGGACCACTGCTCTGATCCAGCAGGGCTCTTCACATCTTCTTCTTCTTAACTCCTATGCCTGTGGTATTCTCTGGTGTGCTTTCTGTGAGAAGTTATCACTGGTTGTCTCCGAAAGCCTATACCAGGGGTGACAAACTTGAGGCCTGTGGCTGGAAGCGGCCCGCCCATGGCTTTAATCAGGCCCCTGGCTCTTCTCCTGTCCTCACTTGAGGCCCCTGAAGTTCCCAGCTCTCTCTGTCTTGTCTTGGAAGCCATTCTGGGCTTGCAAAGTTACAAAGAAAATACGGAACAGATTTTTCCATTAAGGTGTCTGCACCAAGATCGACTACTCTGGGGTTGTTTCCCACAATAGAAATAGTGCTCTGGGACTGGAATGACAGCCTCAGTGAGTAGCAGCAGCATTCTGGGAATGGAATTCCACTCTGGGGGCCCTTGTGAAGTGCCTCAAGGATCTGTCCTTGTTCAACATCTTTAGAAATGATTTGAAGGGATACAGGGAATGGTTATTAAATTTGCAGATGATACTAAATTGGAAGCGGTAGCAAATACGGTGGAAGACAGATACAGGATCATCTTGAGAGGCTGGGAAACTAGGCTAAAACAAATAAAATGAATTTCAATGGGGATAAATGTAAAGTTCTGCATTTAGGTAGGAAAAATCAAATGTATAACGAGAGGTTGGGGGAGTCTTGTCTTGGCAGTAATATGTGCGAAAAGGATCTAGAGGTCTTGGTAGGCCATACACTGAACATGAGCCAGCAGTGTGGTTGCTAAAAAGGCAAATGCTATTTGGGGCTGTATCAACAGAAATATAGTGTACAGATCACACGAAGTGATGGTACCACTGTACTCTGCTCTGGTTAGACCTCACCTAGAGTATTGTGTTCAGTTTTGGGCACCACAATTTAAGAAAAAATGTAGACAAGCTGGAACATGTCCAGAGGAGAGCAACGAAGATGGTGAGGGGTCTGGAGACCAAGTCCTAGGAAGAAAGGTTGAAGGAGCTGGGTATGTTTAGCCTGAAGAAGAGACAACTGGGAGGTGATATGATAACCATCTTCAAGTCCTTGAAGGGCTGTCATATAGAGAATGGTACAGAGTTGTTTCCTGTTGTCCCAGAAGGTTGGACCGGAACCAACAGGTTGAAATTAAATCAGAAGAGAGGTGGTGGGCTCCCCTCCTTTGGAGGTTGCCGAACAGGCTAGATGGCCATCTAATGGCAATGCAGATTGTGTGAACTTAGGCAGATCATGAGAGGGAGGGCAAGAAGGGTTGCCTCAGTGCTTAGTTCTTGTGGCCCTTTCTTACATGCCCAGGGAAATGCTGATTGCCACTTTGGGGTCAGAGAGCAATTTTCCTCCAGGCCAGTTTGGCCAGGGATCCTGGAGGTCATCTTCTGGGCAGGGAACAGGGGTCACTGGAGGTGTGGAGGGGGAGGTATTTGTGAATTTCCTTCATTGTGCAGGGCGTTGGACTAGATGACCCTGGAGGTCCCTTCCAGCTCTATGATTCCAATCCCAGAACGCTTTTGCTACTCCCAGGGGCTGTCATTCCAGTCCCAGAGTAGTCTATCTGGGCCCAGAGACCATAATGGGAAATCCATTCCACATTTTCTTTGCAACTCTGCAATGTATTTCAAGAGAGTGGAGCGCAAGAATCACTTTCCAGTGTTTGTATAGTTGCAGCTGTTACTTGCTGGAGGTCTCCTTGGAAATACAGGGTTTTGAGCCAGCTTGTCTCAAGATCAATGGATCTGAGAATGGGTGCCTGAGTGAGTACTCTAACCTGGGAACCCACAGTCAAAGGCGGACATTACACTGGAGAGCCACTGCCACTCTGAGTAGACCTGGGGGGGGGGGAGGTTTGGCATTGCCAAGCCCCGCTATTTGCCAACCTTTCCATTTTAGGCAGGGATCTTGTTTTGGAGGGGGGGGGAGGTCTGGGAGGTGTCAGTTATTAAAGACTGTTAAATACACACAATATTGCAAGAGTTTTAAGCATATTTGTATTTTTAGTAAAAACATAATATCTTTAATTGTTTGTATCTTTTATAAAGTTTGTATCTCTGCTACCCGGCATTACATTTTATGACACACATGACCTGTCCCCAAAAGGTCCCATTTATCTCAGATCCGGCCCTTGTAACAAATGAGTTTGACACTCCTGGCCTCTACCTACCCTTGGGCATGAATGAAAACCTCTACGTACATATTCATGTTCAGAGAAGAAATTGTTTACAGAACCAAAGTGAGGGACCTGCTGCCCACCCTGGTCCACTTTCTCTGCTGCAGCTGTGACAGATTCCACCCAGCACTCTGTGAAGGCCAGGACGGGGGTGGGGGGGAGACTCCAGAGGCCAAGTGGGGAGGCCGCCTTTTGGAGAGCGAGGTCAAAGAGGGGCACGAGGGGCTCTTGATCAAGGCCCAGCCCATGAGGGGGGCTCAGCTCCCTCCCACCAGACAGACTCCTTCTAGTCTGTTCTGTCTGTCTATCAAGTACTGCTCAGACGGCTATCGCCTTAAGTGGAATTATTTTAAAAGACCTTACTCGGTATTCTTTCCCTTATATTTGATTATTGCACCTCTGAATTTTGCCACTAAGAGGGTGACACGATCTTTTGCATCCGACAGCGGCCACGGTGCCTCTGGGCTCGCACATTGAGCAATTCCATATATCCAAGTAAAGGGGTGACTAAACTGGCCCTTGACCCATTGAATACGGGGCTCTCCATAATCATATGTTGGACGGTTTCGGTTTAATCATATAAGCACCTGCATGTTCTATTAACGTATGGGACTCTATTATACATGAAACTGAGCAAACTCCGGAGCACGACGGAAGACAGGAGGGCCTGGCATGATGCGGTCCATCATGGGGCCGTAAAGAGTCGGACTTGACTGTGCAACTGAACAACAACAACACTCTATTATATCTGCCCTCCGAAGCTGCCAAGGGAAGAACATTAATTCCTGCCAAAGTAAAAGCTCTTCTTGGTTTTGGGACTGTCAATTGATTAAAATATTTTGGCGGTTCCCAAATGGAGTGTGTCTTGTAACATCCCACTTCCTTAAACACTTTTTTATTTGTCTTATAATGTCTTTAGTTCCTATATTCTTAATCATATCATTTGTTATTCCCAGGCTTTTGATTTTCTTTTCCAATACTTGATCCCATTGGCTATAATGTTTATCTGGCTGGATAAGTCCAAGTAGAATAGATCCTCCCTCAGATTTTAAATACTTTGAAGAGAAATGCTTTAATCCAGTCTCACATCCAAGGACAGGACCGGTGGACTGCAGAACTAAGCCCCCCTCCCCCACCACAGGGAGGAACGGGCAGGTTCTAATCAAAATCAGCTGAGTCCCAGTTGTCTGGACCGAGACAGACGGGAAACAAACAACAGGCTTTAAAAAAGAGTTCTGCAGGAAATTGCAAAACTGCTGGATGGGTGATGGGGACAGGATGTGCCAGTTGCATAAGGGACACCTGGCCAGCATTTGCTTCAAGCCTGGACTCTCCAGCTTCCAGATGCTGCAGGGGCCAAACTGGCCCAAGCCATTGCCTTGGCTGATGATACTATTATCTGCATTGTTTGCATGCTTTTGATCATCCTGCAGCTATGCAGAGGCGGGTTCCTGCCAAGCCAGGCCACAAGTGGAGCACAGGAAAGGTGGCAGTGGCAGCAGCCTGCTCCTGAAAACATCCAACCTCTACTGCAGCATGGATGAACACAGTACAGGGGAGAAGGGTGGGGAGCGGGGGAGAAGGAAGACAAAGCCAACCCTCCTCCTGGGCTCACAAGTCGATCAGAGGCACTGGGCTGGGGAAACCCAGATTGCACCAGAGTCAGAGGGATTTTTCTCACCTGAGAGTTCCTGGTAGATTTTCCTGTGGAATTTGGGCCACCAGCTTCAGGAACTCATGGAATAGTTCTACCTTGCAGATCCGAGACCTGCCAAGAAAGAGGACAGATTCTGCCTTTCTTCCCTTTGAAATGCTAATAAAAGTGTCGGGGAGGGGGCTGGTTTTGAGTAAACCAAGCAGAGACAGAAGAGTTAGCTTACAGGCCCTGATCCACATCAGGGTTGCACAATTCACCTTTTACAGATTGCCAGAGACCGGTGAGCTCCATCATGCCTGTTCCAGCAGTCCAGGATTTCAGCCTCTCCTTATAAGGCAGATGCTCTGTGTGTTCCCCCCACCACCACCAATGCTCCCTCTCAGCTGTGAGCAAAAATCCTACTTGGTGAGCTCCCGGCATTCAAGATGTGAGCGAGCGATTTTGGCTGCTGCATCCATTAGGCACCACACCTTAAAAAGGATATTATAGCTTTGGAAAAAGTGCAGAAAAGGGCAACTCGAATTATAAAAGGGTTGGAACACTTTCCCTATGAGGAAAGGTTAAAGCGCTTAGGGCTCTTTAGCTTGGAGAAAAGACGACTGAGGGGTGACATGATCGAGGTTTATAAGATTATGCATGGGAAAGAGCAGGTAAAGAAAGAGGTACTTTTCTCCCTTTCTCACAATACAAGAACTCGTGGGCACTCCATGAAACTGCAGAGCGGTCGGGTTAGAACGGATAAAAGGAAGTACTTCTTCACCCAAAGAGTGATTAACACATGGAATTCACTGCCACAGGAAGTGGTGGGTGCTACAAGCATGGACAGCTTCAAAAGGGAATTAGATAAGCATATGGAGCAGAGGTCCATCAGTGGCTATTAGCCACAAGGTATAGCTAGGGGCTCTGGGGCAAGTGATGCTCTGTCTTCTTGGTGCTTGGGGGGGGGTCAACAGTGGGAGGGCTTCTAATGTCCTGGCCCCACTGCTGGACCTCCTGATGGCACTGGTATTTCTGGCCACTGTGTGACACAGAGTGTTGGACTGGATGGGCCTTTGGCCTGATCCAACATTGGCGTCTCTTATGTTCTTATGTTCTTAAACCACTCTAACTCAGCTTAGAGGGAACATGGCTTCTGTATCTTGGTTTGCTCAGCAGCATCCTTCCTGGTGGTGAGAGCTGCCAGACTGAACAGGGTATTCTCCATTTTGAGGATGGGGGGGGAGGGGGTGTGTGCAAACCTCTAGGCCACCTGATTTTTTCCATGACAGCAGGAAAAAATTCCCAAACCTAGTCCAGCCCTCCAGGTATGATGCCAGATGACTCTTCTTTGACCCAGCCCAGTCAGTGCCGACATAAACTCTGCCTCTGATCTGGGGGCCTCCAAACAATCAAATACAACCCCTCCGCCAGCACACTAGCACAGAATGCACTAATATCATACCCGTCTAGCAGTCGCTTGGGGTGGGAGGAGAGGGGTGACTTTTGTTAGGGAAGCAATCTGGGGGACCCCCCCCCCCCCCCCGCACACACACAAATAAGCCTGAAAAGGGCAGGGCGGGAGGGGCAACAGCTGCATGAGCCTGACCATGGGTCTCCACGCTGAGTCCCCAAAGAGACGCATCTCCAGCTAGGAACACACCTAGACGTGAGGCTGCCAGTGGCTTTCTTGGTGGTCCCCTGCTTGAAGCCATTGGAAGTGACATCTAGTGGGTGTTCAGGAACCTCACTCCAGCTGATGGCTGGTAAACAGAGGAACACGCAGGAGTTACTTGCTAGCAAAACGGGAAGGCACACAGACCACAAGACCCAGTCCCCCCACCACACTCCAGCCCCCCCACCACGGCCAGCTCCTCTTTCTACATCCTCCCATCCCTTGAAGGCACCACCTCTCCTTCCCCCTCAAAAAACTGCAGCTCAGAGTCTGTTTATGCTGGGGGGAGGGGGTTGAACTGCATTTCCAAAGCGATTCAGTTCCCACTGCAGTCCAGGCAACCTCCCTTCCCTGCACCCAGGGGTGGGAAATGGTCAGTAAAATCAGCAAAAGTCAGTTTTTTCATCTTCGTCAGTAATTTGTCCATTTATTAAAAAACTGGTCAGTAAAGTCAGTATTTCTTTGATTTTTGTGAATGCAGTTTGTGCTTTTTTTGTTTTCATTACTGTATTTTGGGGGAAACATGATGACTTCCCAGTGAAAAGACAGATTGTTTTCAGTTCAGTTATGAAGTACTTTAAGGACTTTCTTCCTAAGAGTAAAAGTGATTTGGCGAAATCTTCCACAAAGTATAGAAACGTAATTAACCTCCTGAAACATGGGACAATGAGAGCAGAGGGGGTGGATATTGTGGGGGCTTCAACATGGCCCAGCTCATGCCAGGAGGAGCTGAGGAAGCAACGGAAGAAGAAGAGAAAAAAAAGGGGGATGCTTGTGGATGTGCAGTGCAGAAAACTGTCGAGAAACGAAAGAGTTCATTCATAAAGCCCTTTTTCATCAAAAAACCAAAGGAAAAGGAAAAGCAAAGACAAGCCTTACCTTACAGTTAATTATGTTTTGTCGCCATAATTATTACTGTATGCGTGGGTTTTTTATATGTTTTTGCTGTTTTATCATCTGCAGCATGTGATTATTTTTTGGAAAAAAATTGCCTTAAGTTTTGTACAATAATGAAAACATTGTCCTATCTTCATACAAAAAATCCAATTAAAATGTGTGATCCTTTTATCTGGATCATATCTGACTATGGGGCTGGCGGAGGCCAGATAATAATAATTTTTAATTAAGTCCTACTTTACTTTTAAAACGCTAGCTTATCAATAGGCTGACATTAAATTTGTCAGTTTCTTGTCAGTATTTGGTCAGGTTTTTTGGAATTTTGGTCAGTAAAATCAGAATTTTTGACCCTCTGACTAGTTTCCACCCCTGTGCAGCATCTCAAGTGTGACTATGGAGGCAGCCACTCCCCTCCTCAGCTGCCCTTCGCTCTTCCCTGCTTTGGCAGCCCTTGACACTCACCTGCACCGCACGGAACCACCTTGCCCTGACTCTGAAGACGGCTGTCCTCAATTGCTCGCCGGCTATGGTTAAAATGCAGACAAGACTGCAGGATTTTCACCTTGTGAACCTGGAAACCATCTGGTAAATGAAGAACATGCCAGCACCTGCAAGGACAGTGAAAGCGCAACAGCCTACTGAGGAATATGGCAAAAGGCTACATTCAGAGGAATGAAACAAACCTGCTCTCACCAGGCTCCAGAAGACACTGCGACAGCAGAGTTATCTGTTTATAGCGTGTTCATCATCTTGGTGCAGAAATGCACACCCAGGGTGACTAAGGCACTGGAGTGTCTCTCCTATGAGGAAAGGCTGAAGAACCTGAGACCTTTCAGAGCCTCCCAGGGGGTGGGGAGAGGGGGATGGGCCATAAAATTTATGTTTGGCATGGAGAATGCAGAAAGAACCTTTTGCCTCTCTCCTAAAAACTCCAGAGGCACTCAACTGAGCTGACGGGCAATAGATTCAGGACAGGCAAACGGAAGAACTCCTATACTCAACAAGTAATGACACTGTGGAATTCACTGCCAGTGACCTTAAAGATTTCAGTTGGTTAACACATGTTCCCCTCCAGCTGTTTTCCATCCAGCAAATCTATTTCTACATTTTCCCTAGCTTCTCTACATTCCTGATCAAACCAGCCCCCAGTACTATGTGCTGGTCAATGACCGTGTATAAAACTTATACTAACCAGCCTACAGAAGAACAATTGAATGGATTAGGACAGGGGTGTAAATGTAAGGCCCGAGGGCCAGAACCAGCCCATCCAGCGCACTTACCTGACCCACAAGCAACTGGTATGTACAGAAATGTAAGGTACTCCCCCTTTTATGGTATCCCTTGGGGAAAACCTAGTCTTGCATATGATTACATACATTTATTGGGGCTTTGTAGGCTCCCCAGTAAATCTATTGCTTTCACTGCTAGAAATCAAATGCTTTTGTTTGTATTTTGAGTAAAAAAATATTGTTAATTGGGTTTGCCTGTGTCCTTCATAAAGTTTATATCTATGGTACCTGACATTACATTTTATGGCACACAGGGCCCAGCCCAACAAAGTGACATTGATGTCAGATCTGGCCCTCAAAACAAATGAGTTAGACACCTCTGGATTAGGTTTATCATAGACAGGGCCGGCTCCAGCTTATTTTGCACCCTAGGCGAGGATCCCTTCTGGGGGGCCCCCATGCGCTCACCAATTAAAAAAAATAAATGCATTTTAGGAAGAATGAAAAACACAAATAATCAAGAAACTCCCAGAGTATGGGGCCGGGTGCAGTTTGGTGCCCTTAAGGGCCGTCCCACTATAGGCGATCGCCTAGTTCGCCTAGTGAGTGAGCCGGCCCTGATCATAGACCAGAAAAGGCCCAAGATGACAGACTATATATCGGTGACCAATGAAACTACTGCCATATATCGGTGACCAATGAAACTACTGCCATATGGTTTCAGAGGGTGGCTGTGTTGGTACGCAGTAGGAGAGGGGTGTTGAAAGACCTGAGTCAGATTGAGGTGATGAGAGATGAGGTCCTACAACTGATAAGACAATTTAAAAACTGATAAATCACCAGGCCTGGATGGCATACATCCGAGAGTTCTGAAAGAACTCAGATGTGAACTTGTGGATCTCCTAACAAAAATGTGTAATCATTTATTAAAATCCGCCTCCATTCCTGAGGACTGGAAGGTAGCTAATGTCACTCCCATCTTTAAAAAGGGTTCCAGAGGAGATCCGGGAAATTATAGGCCAGTCAGTCTGACTTCGATACCGGGTATGTTGATGGAAACTGTTATTAAGGAAAGAATTAGTAGGCACATTGAGGAACAAAAACTATTGAGGCAGACTCAGCATGGGTTCTGTAAGGGAATTCTTGTCTCACTAACCTGTTAAGTGTTTTTTAAGGGAGTGAACAAACATGTGGACAAGGGGGACCCAATAGATGTTGTTTACCTTGACTTCCAGAAAGCTTTTGATGAAGTTCCTCATCAAAGGCTCCTAAGTAAGCTCAATAGTCACGGGATAAAAGGACAAGTCCTCTTGTGGATCAAAAACTGGCTAATTAATAGGAAACAGAGAGTGAGTATAAATGGGAAATTTTCTCAGTGGAGGGTGGTAAGCAGTGGGGTACCACAGGGATCAGTA